TCCGTATCTTATCGTGTTCCTTAAAGATTTCTTTCATTCTGAAATACACTATGGAAATAAAATAAATTGCTCTGAATAGATTCCTTGCACTTTTTAGTTCTTAATTTCATTCGATATATTCACATTTTTTTTCGCAGGATGGTAATTAAAACACCATCCTGTTTTTTCAAGAGTATATCTTGTTGCAAAAGTATGGAGAGAATTGATTGAAGCATTGAATTAAATATTGCATAATTTTTGAGTCATCGATGATGCACAGGAATTACTTTCTCATTGCAAGAGATAATACAGAAAAGTTGAAAAGAAAACAAATTCGGCGACAGGATAGAAAGAAAGTTGGAAATGTGTTCAAGTTGTTCAGGTTTACCGAATTCCCTGTGCTGCCAATCCCTCAAAACCCAACTGTAAAATTCTAATTTAGTATATCCTCTCAGCTACTTTTATTTAGACTAATAAACATTGAAGATTGCTCAGACTCAGACCATTCCCCTCATGAAACACCATTGTACACTTGAAAAACTAGGGATTTACTCATTTTTTTACTCAAACTATGCATATATGACTTAATAATTTGCAATTTATTATCTGCAAATAACCCCACATCATACTACTACTAGCTCATTTCGAATCATTGGTTTAAGAACGTTGAAAAAAAACCGTATGGTTCATTAAATAACGGTAATGAAATAATATTTACATTTTCATAGTATCAATCGTCTAAAAAGCTCAATGTGAACAAACTAATTGATTAATTCTTCTTTTAAAATTTATTTCTATTATAATTTTGTGTGGATTTTTTAATGAAATGAATTTATCTCAGTGGTAATAAATGCAATCATTTCTGAGCAACATTGTAACGAAGTGAAGTTTTCAAAGAAACTTGGGAAAATTCTCATAGTTGAAGACCAATATTATATTTCTATTTCATATTCAGAAATATTCAGAAATAGAAATATAATATTGGTTAGAAATATAATATTTCATATTCAGAAATAGAAATATAATATTGGTCTTCAAATGATATGTTTTTCTTTTAAAATCTAATGCTTAACATGATGGTTGAATGATATTGTACTTATCGCAAACTTTCCGTTTCATTTGACAAGTTTTCAAAAACCAGTTCTTTCATATGATGTACAATAGATAAAATCTATTTTGCGAAAGTAATTTATAAATTCAGTGCCCCGTTGATTCTATTAAAATTACTTGGGCTTTTAGTGTGATATTCTCAGAATTTCTGCTGTGACGTATAGATCATTTTCGCCTTTTACTGTTTAAAATTCTTGATAAGAATCATGAATCTAAACTTACGTTTTTTAATAAAGTTCACTGTGATGAAATCGTGCAAAATTATGCAAAACAAAAACTACCAATTATTCAATTTCTTCGTCAGTAGTGATTGAATCAGTCATTAAGTTTGTTGAACATTTGCATTTTTCGTTGTGTTTAGTGAAATATGACTAAAAATCATACAAAAAGTTTCCTTCACATCTTTTCTTGAGCTAATTTAAATAAATGAAAATCTCTATCAAGATCAGTTTTGCTAGTTTTAAAGTTTAAAAAAAAAGGTCTCATATTTTTTTTAAAAAAAAAAAAAGTAAAAAAGTAAATCAATGCTACAAAAAAATTAAGTAAATCGTAGAAATTTTTATGTAGCAGAGCTCATTTTTTAGTATTTTAATACAATTGGTTTAAATCAAAATTGGACGAAAAGGGTTTAGAACACTTAAAATGAAAATCAATTAGATGTTTTGCATGTGCCAGTTATTTAGTTTAAATAAATTAATAATGAATCATTCATTGGTTGTAATTGTCATCTTTTTCATCCGTTTCACTTTCTTTTTCTATCGCCTTCGCTGATAACCTCATCAAGCATACCTTTTTTTTACGCACACGTTGTAAAAATATAATCTAACTTCATTTTAAACAGGTAATGAATTAATCTTATTTTTGCGACCAGCTAATAGAATTTACCCTCAACGTAAAATGACAATTTTTTGTGTTTCCACCCATTTTCAATTTTAATTTAATTAGTGTACATAATTGGTAAAACAATCTTCACATAATATCATCAGCTTTGCAACAACAATAGTATCACATTTCCATCTTTTCTTTTCTTCCATTTTTCACAGTATTTTTTCGAAAACTTATTTGGAAATTTTATTGCATTATTATTCGTATAGGTTAAATTATGTATCGCATAATTTTAACAAATGTCTTTGAAGATTATTTCACAAATTTGCAAGGGGATCATAGAGAAATATGTGATGAGAGTAATTGATTAAAACCGGTAAAAAAAGTAGTGTCACCTGGATGTTTTGAGATTATCTCAGTGCAACATAAAAGATTGAAAAACGCTGAACGGAACAATAGTTCTACGAGATTTCTTTAATTTTGTTGTTCGTTGCAAATATGTCAAAAAATAATCAGTTACAAGTTATAAAATATCAAATAGCTATACAGCTATAGAGGTTTATTCTAGATTATGAATTTTATAATCAGGAATTTTCATAAGACTTTTTTTTAGAAAATGTAAAATTAATCTTAATTATACAAAGTAAAATTAATCCTAAGATACAAGATCCAACTTTGATTCTTGACTTCTTTAGCTTCCATTATTATTTCTTAAATGAAGATAATATGCATGAAATAAAGTATCAAATCAATTGTGGTTCATTTTATTTATTAAATTATATATTAATGGAAAAGAATATCTTGAGTCCTGCAAATACTACAAGTTCAATATCCTGGTTAGCCTAATATGATTCTGTCAGTAACAACAGTGATAAATTTTCATAATGTTTAAAAGTTGGAGAAAGTATACTTCAATTTGTTAATCAGCTAGCTAGCTAAATATTTGTCTTCGTCTAATTTCTATCTCATTACATTTTGTCATTAAAAAAAATAACATTAATATTAAATGACAGGAATAATTTTTGAATCATTTTCTTCAATTAATCAAATTATTTTCCACTTATGGTCATTATTTTAATGGTGATAAAAAGAAGAAAAATGAAGCAAAAAAAAAAGAAAAAAAAACAACAAAAGAAAGAGAGAGGGAGAAAAAAAAAACTAGAAAAAACAAAACAAAACGAAAACTTCGGGAAAGAAATAATACGAGAACGTATAGTCATGATCAATGATCATTAATGTAAAAAAGAAAAATGAAAAAAAAAAACTTTGTTTCACTAACAATTGCATGCTAGAATACATTTAAAACATCAGCACATCATATGACATACTAGCAGCAAAAGGTTATTCTCACAGCTGATAGCATTAACACTTCAACAGCACAAGACGAAATTACTCTCGAACAACAGTTATGTTTATATTAATGAATGGAAGAAGCTCTAACGACATTTCATTCCCATAATTATTTCACATATTATTACTATTTTGATCTGTTTATTGAATTCAGTAAAATAAAAAAAAAAAAAAAAAAAGAAAGAGTAAAGAAAAAGCATACAATTATTTTTCAATTACCAAATCTATATTATTTGTTTCATTCATAATAATTGTTTTAGTTGTCCTAGTTAGTCTTCAATTTACCGAGAAAATTAATAACTAATGAATGAACTGAATTAATTTTATTTTATCTTATTTACTCAAGCAGCAAATTTATTTATTTTTTTTTCTATTTTTTTTATCATAATTGAACATTATCTGAATAGCCATTCTACAATCGTTTTTTTAAATTGTTAGAAAATTTGTTAATGTATTTCACGAATTTGATTTTCATATTTAGGATATCCTAAAGGTTAAATATAAACTTATGGTTTCTTTTGGTAATCAAAAATCCAGTTTATTGTTGTCATATTTTGCTATTTTCAATGATCGCGTAGTTGCACTTCGCATTTCTTTATATGATAGTAAAGCTTCTTTTCAAAGAGTTGAAGCAATATCACTGTCTTATCAATGGCAAATTCTTCATTTATCGGTTGATAAAATTCTTTTCATTTTATTTTCATCGATGAAGAATTAACTATTATTAAAAATTAACTATTATTATTATTTTATTATTAAGAATTAACTATTATTATTATTTTATGAAATATTAAACAACTGGAACAATATGCTACTCTTGTATTTCAATGAATTTATAATCATAATAAAGTTAGTCATTTCATTAAGAAATAAATGTTCTAATAGTTGCAAATTAGATAAGATATATAATTTAGTATTTTCCGGATCGCCTAGTCTCGGCCAGTTGAGCATTTGGCAGGTGTTTCTTACAGCTTAAACCATCAGCAATGTTGCAATAATTTCTGTTCATGGTATCAATTACTGAACATTTTGCTTTAATTTAAAATTAATATCTTCAAACATAATATGACATTAAATATATTGAGAATAACTCTAGACAATGCACTTTGCAACATATTATAAATTCAAGTTTCATTGCTCGTCTAAAAATAATTATTCGAATCTTTAATTTTTTTTTCTCTCTCTCTCTCCGAAACAAGTTATGTTGTTGATAAGACAGAATTGTTGTTAATATTATTGATAACTTGATGATTTTACTTGTTCCCATCAAATGTTTTCCTGAATTAACTATTATGAAGTAAGTAGGATAATAGTATTACTGATAAGTTATTTTTCCATTTCACTATATTTTGCACTTAATGTTATAAAAAATTTTTTTTAGGAAGCATTCCATATGATCTTTTTTCTTCTTTTTTTTTTTGTTTCCGAAGTGAAAAGTGAAATAGAGGATTTTTTTTTTTTGATGTGAGAATATAGAAGATTTACTTCTTTGTAAATATGTATGATAGTTTGATGATGAAAAGGGATGGAACGGTACCAGGAAGAAATAGCTTTGTTTACTGTGAGAGCGATTGATTTCTCTCCCAGTGCAGCTGATATATTGATGATGACCTTATTTTCTCCTTCTCAACATTCCCTTATCCTATCATTTGTCCTCTTTTATCATATCACAGTATGGAAGAGAATTTTTGTTAGTATGGGAAAATTTTTCTTTTTTTACAGATTTTTTTATAAAAATGTTTTCGTTGATAATACTGCTGATAATATTTGTAACGAAGAAAACGATTGGTTATGTTTCGAATATGAATTATATACCAGTGGGTACCAATCCAACATTATATCAACCGGGTTATGATCCAGTTATGCAACTTGATGCTGCTACATTTTATGATACTGTATTCATGCAAGATCATTCTTTTGTTGTTGAATTCTACGCAGACTGGTAATCCTTCCAATCTTTATAATCTCACATTTGACTAGTAAACCATTAATTTTGTTTTCTTTACAGAAATCTTTCAATTTCTTTTTGCTAAAAGATATCACACCTTAAAAGTGAAATAAAATTATGATATCTGTAACTTTTTTTTCTTTATCTTTGAAGAAATTATATTATTAATTAAAGGTGTGGACATTGTCGTGCATTTGCTCCGTTTTATTTGGAATTCGCATCCTCTATACGTTCATGGAAAAACGTGGTAACAGTGGCTGCAATTAATTGCGCTGATATTGTTAACCAGAAGATATGTAGCGATGAGGGAATTATCGGATATCCAATGATTCTGGTTGAATATTTCAATCAACAAACTTTTCTAAAAGAATAATTTAATAATTCCTGGAAATTAAGGGAAGTAATAAATATATCGAATATAAAATTTAACATTTCAGAGCTTGTAACTGACCTAAGCTTCATTATTTTAGTAATCTTGGTTCTTTTGACTTCATTAGTTTAGTAATTCTGTCTTTTTTATTCTTTATATATGATATACTTTTTTATATATTATTTATTTTTATTTTTAGTTGGATTCATTCTTGGTAGAAATTAATGAAAAGCTAAATATGCAAATGCACATTGATTAAAGAAATAATAGATTTAATAAATGAACCTGAGATTTATTTATTGTTCCAATTATAGTACTATCCTCGATATGCTCGAAGTCGGATCGATGCAATCAAGTTGGAGCCAAAGCATTCCTTATCGTATATGAAAGGTCAACTCACGCAAGTTATACGCAACGAATACAATCAGTTTCACTATACAGATTGGCCAGATTTCACCTTTTTAACAACTGACGGGTTATTTTACACTTCAAAAATGCAAAAAAAAAAAAAAAATTAAGCAAATTTCACATCAAAAATTACTTAATTTCGGCTATTAGAACTGTCTAACATCTTATGCAAAACATTTCCAAGTCATGATCGGATGACTTTCGTTGAACATAGAATGCATGAAAGAGTTCACTACATTGATCGTCAAAACATATCAGATAATTAACCGAATTAATTTCTGGATTAAAATTGTAAAAATTAAAATTGGCAATTCTTAAAAGAAAAACAAAACAAAATTATTTTGCATAATTTTTAGTGCAATAGCACTGAGAAATTTTTGGAATCAGATGAATGATTCTCATCAATTTCTTGTTTTCCTATTCGAGCAATTCGATAGCATTGGTGTAGAGTTCTTACTGGATATGTTTCCACTTCAAAGAACGGTGCTTACCAGAAGAATTATTGTTCCTTCACCTATTACCCGATTATTCACCATCACACAATTGCCATACGTCATAGTTTTCAAGCGTAATCAAGACAAGCCGATCTATCAAAGTCCGTAGGTTTTCATTTCTCTTTTGCCTCCATAATTTTTCATTTCTCATATTTTTTACTTTAATTAAATTACTAGTTAATATTAATTGAAACTACTGGAAAGAAAAGAAAAAATTTGTTCCAAACTGCAAGCAAGTTAACTTTGGAATAATTCATTTTAAGTAACAAAAGTAATTATTATTCGCTAGTAGTTTTTGATTCTTTTAAAACTGGCTCAGATTTGAGGATAATTTTTATGAGTTTTTACGAAAATAATTTACCGAAATGCTGCAGCATATAACTTTCAGTGAAGTAATGTTTTCTTTCACCACAACAGGTGATGTTTTCTTTTTTTTTTTTTTAATTTTCTGGTGAATAAATTTAGATATGGTCCGCATTTGTTGCAAGAAGTAATGAAAATGACATATGCGACACCAATGCAGCTTGTGTTTCATGCTGCACCGGTACCATCACCTGTTGTGCAGCAAATTATCGTACAGTGCGAGTTGCATCACGATAGGTTAGCAAAACTCTCTCATTAATACAATTTTATAAAACTATTTTTTTTCTTGCTATTTAAAAATTTTTTCTTACTGAATTCTTCCTAAAAAACATCGGAACAGTCGACATTTTTCCCTTTGTCTTTCCTGTTTCTTTTTTAATTTTTCTTGTTTATATGCAACTTTAAATTGTGTAGAATTGGTGGAATCTTGAAAGTAATTTAACGTCAAATATTGTGGTGATTCAAATGTTCAACTACGTTTTTTCTGCATATAATTTTTTTTTTCTTGTTTTTTGTTCCTTTACTTTTTAATGCTGTTTTCTTCACATTACACGTAATTAAAATTGTAATACTGTATATATCCGAATAAGTTTTCTATTCATTCATTTTGGCACAAATGAATCTGTCTTTTTCTTTATAAAAAGATCTGGTGGAAAATCTGATTGATTAATGGTTAAATTTAAGATGCCGTGAGTTATACTATGTATCGGAGACGGATATGTTGAAAGCAATGCGTATGGCAATATTTGATGAAGTAATTAAAACAAACAACAACATTGCTGGTACAAACTTCACAGCACTACTAGACTTCATCAGTGTTCTTGCCGAAGTAATATAATTATTTTGTTGAAATATTTCAAATATATAAATTTGTAAAAAATGAACTTCCATTTTAGCATATAAAAATTTATTTGAGATTTTGCTTTAACATACAAATAATTATGTTTTTCTCAAATTATACAAATAATTATGTTTTTTCTCAAATTATATTATGTATTTTCAGCATTTTCCAATTTATACATCTAATACAACATCACAAACAACGAATCAGAAATCATTCGCGGTAAATTGTTCCATTTCTCTATAGCCGATATCGGTATGACAGGTGGTGTTTGTGATTTATGCTAGTTCTCTTTCCTAGTGCCTAGCTCTTTTCTTTTGAAGAGATACCTTCCCTGTACCACCCTTGAAACGTTGTACACTTAACGTTCGAACGCATTAGCTAAGTATTTCACACCTAGCCATTATTTTACAAACAGTAGTTGACATTAAGCCAATAAATTAGGCCCACCTACTGAGCCTGAAATTTGGATCAGGACAATGAAATGTGATCATAAATCTCTCTCTCTCCCTCTCTTTCTCTTCCAGCTGTCTTCGTCTCCTCTCTTTCTTGCTGTTCGGTGGTACAAGCTTTTTAAAATTAACATTAAAAAGAACGAATTAGTGACTCATAGTCTTCTTTTTAAATTGATAAGTCTATTTCCCTTTTCCTTCTTCACTCTCTACAAATTCCCGTATGCATTTTGGGGTAAAAATGGCCATCGGTCATTTACAAGTTATTCATGAATCTCTGCTAAATGCTATGTTATCTATTGATGAATGTATACCGGTCATTTAATTATATTAATTTTTTTATTATAGATTTTTTTTTTTTTTTTTTTTTTTTTTTTTTTTTTTTTTTGAGGCCTTGAAGCAAAGCGCACGAGCCAAATCAGTCTTTTTGCATCTTCGACATTTTCTAGAAGCACACAATGAAAAGCATGCAATTTCAACAATTGTTTGGCGAAATCAATTCCAGAATGTCGAAGTAAATTCATAAATATGTCTGTTCAAAGTATTGATAGCAATATCGTATTTCTTGAAAGTTTTTATGAAATTTTTTAAAAAGCTTTAAAAATTGAATGGAATTTTCTAGCGAGTATATGGATATCCATTCCCGATGAACGCTTCATGGGAACACTGCAAAGGAACAGCATTAGGATATCGAGGTTATACGTGTGGCCTATGGACAACATTTCACGCAATTACCGTTAATGCTTTCATGCAAAGTTTACAATCACCCATTAATCTATTGCTCAGTATACGGGGTTGGGTTGTCAACTTCTTTGGTTGCCTGGATTGTCGACGACATTTTTTGCACATGACAACCACTCTCTATCCGTTGACTAAACGCCGGGTTTTTTTTTTTTTTTATAGTTCACTTTATTTACACAGTTTACTTATATAGATTTTCAAGAAAAGCAAATTTGAAAGATAACAAATATCAATCAAAAATTACAGTAAGAAAAAAGAACTGGCTCAGGGAACTTTTTGAGTGGTTATAAGATTAGCTGGCCACTTGATTTTCTTCTCTCTTCTTACGTTCTATAAATCCATCCGATCTTCAAGCTAACTTTAAGTTAGTTGCAGATTGCTAAATGCTAAAATAGCAAAATTTATTCAAATCTAAGATTTCTTCAATCAAATTAAAGAGTGATATTATTATAGGTGCAAAATACTCATGATATGATGTTCTACCTGTGGCGTGCTCATAACATTGTTAATGCTCGACTGCATGGCGACAAATCAACGGAAGATCCACAATTTGAGAAGCGACAATTTCCACCAGTTTTCCTCTGCTCAATGTGCCATTCCGATGGAATGTTCAGCAGGAAAAGTGTCCGAGACTTCCTGATTAACTTCTACACAGCAATTAGGCCACACAATGGAACAAATCATATTTCGAATAGTCGAAAACTTTCTTAGCGCTTTTTATCTCACATAGTACTTGAGTTTTATTCCATATGGCTTAATGTTAGATGCATGTAGACTATATCAGATGAGTTGTCTTTTCCAATATCTGAACTCCCGGAAAATTTATTCCTATTACGATGTTACAGTTGGGTGGTATCAAAATAATGCGTGATATACTAAGAAGAGACAGTCAGCTACTACTGAGCGGTCTGCATCATTAGCCAGGATTATCATGTATTTCTTTTTTATAGACGTGTTTGTAGTGCGAAACATACATTAATAAGAATTCTAATTTACTAAATGACTGGATCACCTGCATATTCAACTATTTTCATTTAGAATTTTGTTCCCTTCTAAAAAACTTTTAACAAATGTACAAGTATTTTTTAACGGTCCTGTAAATCTGTTCTTTCGAATGATACATTATTACTTTCTCGACTTAACATCCTAGAATTAATTAATCATTGGTGATGATTCCTAACCGTTTGAAAGGGATATTTGATTTCTGTGTTTCATTTGCAAACTGCTAGAATAATTTAACACTCTGATAGCTCCAATTTAGAACACTTTTTCAAAGGTAGTTTGTGTTCAATCATATATAGTTCAAAATTTCGTTTGAATGACACTTATTTACAGACTTATTTGGATTTAATGATTAAAGTGCTGGGTACTTTGCATAAAAGTGCTTTGTACAAATAATTTTATACTGTATTTATTGTACATGGAGTATTTTCATTATTTTATTTCTTTTATTAATTTATAAAATTTCGAGTTTTTCGTGCAATACACAGTAACTAGTAATTTTAACAAATAACAATAACAGCTACAAAATACTTACGGACAAAAACAGTTCATAATATTACTGATGAAGTTACGATGGGACATGTTTGAACATGTCCGTACTAGACTACATGTGAATTCCTCTTCATTTTGAGCACTTTAATACAAAACACCTTAGTCCTTAATTACCTTCCTCAAATGAGTAAATAATTCCAGTACTGTGAGTTTTCAACATTTGCTGTGAATTCCAAAATGCAATTTACTACTTTTCACTGAATTATTTAGATCAAAAAATCAATGAGCCAATATCTGCATAATATTTGTGTGTCAAAAAACAATGACAAAGATTCTTAGCTGAGCAATATTTTATCATTAATATAGGATGACAAATAAACTGAGAAAACCCTACAATATGCATGAATAAGTCAAGTTGCTGTAATGTCAAATTATGAGATAAATAATTCGCAGAGGATCAGAGCGGGACTTGTTCATCGTTTTTTGTAGTTTATAGTACTCCAGAAACATGTAGTAACAGATCATAATCTACCTTACAAAGAAAGATAAGTCAACTGAAGGTAACATTTTCTTTTCAGGATTAGTTCCTTCTCCCGAAAATTAACATTTTTCTGGAAATAATGCAAGGCACGTTATATTTATTTTTAATAATGGTTTTTTTTTTTTTTTATATTTCATTTTTTGAATATCATTGAGTGCGAATTTTAGGGAGATGTTACTGAAAATTTTTGAAGCTATGTATATTTTACTCCTCGGCATTATCACAAATATATTCGCATCCATTGTGACACAACAAAACAGTAGCGAAGTGCTGGAACAAATAGCGTTTTACCTGTTGAATATATCCAGTTCTTATGATATAAACTCAACGAATTTGGAATGGAATATGCTGAAATATCTTATGCATCCAAAAGCAGATGGTGATGTGATTTTTAAGGCTTCTAAAATAGTAGTTGACAAATTTGGGGTTAGTTTACAGGGCATTTCATTTTAGTAACTGTAATATGAAGAATATATCGCATATCTCATTTTTAATTTAGTAAAGTCTGCAAAACAATTTGATAAACATAAATTTAAACAGATTCAAATCAGTCTTTATTATACTAACAGTCATCCAGAATCAAACCAGTGATTAAGACAGAAAAAGATCCAATATCATAGTTTCATCCAGGAGGTAGCAATGAATGTTCCTGGCAATTTCAGTCTGAAATCCCAAATACAATCATACTATAGCGTTCCAATGATGATCTTTAGGCATTTTGAAATTCCGTTACAAAAGCTTTTTCGAAAGTTTATTGACCAATGAATCACCTTACATTCCTAGGATTGTTCTTAAAATTTGAAACATTTGTACTTTAGAAGAATCGGAATAACTATATCTATTTGTCGTGAAAGGTTGTCTGTTGGTGGATATTCGAATTGTTGCAATACAGTAGGAAGATTAATAAACCTCAAACTTGGGTAATTAAACCTTTATTTAACATGAGGCAAATAATAGCGCTTTATACATATCGTACGGATGCTACACCGATTAACAAACACGTAAGCTATATAAAATGCAATAATATAAAAATGGTGAAATAATACGAAATTATAAAGTATTAGACGCATCCTAATACCACCCAAAACATAAAGCAAATGATGGTTATAGAAGGATTGGTTGGTTTATATATAAGACTGATTTAATGAATGGAAATTAGATGGAAGAATTTCTATGGATGAAAAAACAAGATTGTTAACAATGTAATGATTTCCCTAAACAGTTTTGGATATAATAATTTAAATATTTCGTCTTTCACGACAGTTAGAAGTTTTTCGCGAAATTATAATTCGCGACACTCCCAAAGGGGGAGAGAAATTGTTTTAAGAAGTAATTTTGAGAGAGTGATTTTGAGGTATATAGTTAAATGTATGAAGTTTAATAGGTGGGATTTCTTCTTTAGTTAGAAATTGAGTGTGTTGTGCTTCTATAGGGAGAGTAATGATGGTACTTTGATTTGAATTTCGTTTTGAAGTATTACAAAGGAGAGATTGAACTAATTTAAATTTCCACTTAATAATAATTAAAATAGTTAATAATGTCACGATTATTATACAGATAAAAATCAATTTCCAGTTTGTTATCAAGTTTTCAAATTCTTCTTCTATCGGTAGAACAATTTCATCGAATTCCCTTTCCATTTGTTTGATAATTTCTTCTCCTTCTTCAGAGATTTCTTGCCAAAAGAGTTCATCCTTCATTTGATGTGGTATTGAATTAATTGTTTTTTGGGTTTGAGTTAGGATTTCCAATTCTGCATTAATTCTTTCAATTTCAAACTTACTTATTAAATCTCCTTTGAATTCGATATTTTCAATTGTTGATTGTTCTGATTTGCAAGGAGCCACCATCAAATTTCCGTTAATTCTTTTAGCTATCACATCGTTTCTTTGAAGTATTAGTTTCGTGGCAAGGGTAGGATTGCTGATTGATAGCCATTTGATCAAAAGTAATAGGTTATTTCTATTTTGGCAACTTCTCTGCTGTGTTTCTTTGAGTTGTTGAAGGAATTCTTGTCTTAGTGAATCAGAAAGGTATTGAAGTTTTACATTTTCAGGATCGTACTTTCTATCCGGAGTCTTTTCCATCATTAATAGTTTATTTGTTATTCTTCGTTTGAATTTTGTAGTAGAGTTCGAGTCATCTTCAACGTCTAGTTCAATAACTATATCGCCCTGCATTAAAATTGGAGAGGTGAATCTACAAATTTTGGTGTTTAATACAGGGGGGTTTTTATCAATTATAAGCGATGCTTGTATCTCATCGATGATGAAGTGGTTGTTATACTTTGTAGCCTTGAATCTTCCGATCTTTCGATATAAACAATGATTGGTCGTATCATTGCTATTCCATATGATAATGCTAGTATTCGTTATGCATTGACCCTTTTGTGTCGAACAGTCTTTTATATCTTCAAGGTTAGAGACTAACCCTCTTCCATCATAGAAAAGAATTTCTCCTTGAGTTAATATGAAGTTTGACGTTGATTGACAGTTAACTCCTAACCATCCATAGGAGTATTGTATTTCCTTATTCGTTATCCATTGATTAGGAGAAGATTGAATTAGTCCAATTCCGTTCATTTGTTTTCGAACATTTAAATATCTGCAGAATTGTGAGGAAGTTGCGGTAGTAGACGTATGGTCTGATACTACCGATAGCGATATTCTGAGAAAAGCTTTCGTGCATACAGTCCGTGTAATGTTACTACATTTTATAGCTGGTATTCTTGCATGGGTGCGTGTGTACACATCCACTTTGTGATATGTAGCATTTTTGTGAATAATTTCTTCACAATTCCATTTTTCAGGAGTATTAAAGGGTACTCCAGTAATCCAATTACAGCTATTGTTGGCTAATACCTGTCTTGGTATTAATGACATCATCGTTATTAATGATAAAGTTTTTATCAAAAGATTAGACTTGTCCTTTGCATAGATTGTAGTTTGTGATTTTTTAGCACTTCTGGTTCGTCGAGCAATGGGTTCTTTTGGTTCATCTTCCACTTTTTCTTCTTTATCTTCAGTAGCATCTATTTCCATAGGATAAAGCATATTTATTGATCGATCGATTTGTTTTCCATTCGGTAATTGTATTGTTGCACTCCTTATTTTTCCATCCCATCCTCGATTATTTTTATTATCCTTGCCAATTTCCATACACCACGAGGTATTTCTGGTTCATTTAGTAATACTATCTCATTTTCATGTGGTACTCTTTTTTCTACTATTCTAGGTGATTTTAATTCTCTCTGTGTGCGTTCTCTAAGACTTGTAAGATATTCTTCTTTCCACAACTTCCAAAAGACATCTAATGTGTTAAGAGTGGTAGTCTAATACTTGACTAATTTATCTTTAGTCTTTATTGTATAAGGGGTATATTCATCTTGGTCACTATCATAATTTATTGGTAGATCTAATGAAGCCATAGGTGATATAAAATCAATTGGACGAATGATTCTGTAGTCGTCAAACCCTACATAAGTTAATGGACGGGTATTAAGGATTCCTTCTATTTCAACTATTAATGTTATTAATTCTCCTTCCTTTAGAAGTTTTCTTCCTATTGCTCTTCTTAATGCCCTTTTTGTGAGTCCTATAAGTCTTTCATATACACCACCCCCCCATGGTGCTCTTGGTGTAGTATTTTTCCATATCATACCCTTTGTAGCCAAAAA